TCTGGGCTAGCCTCTTGATGTTATTTCATGTCTTCCCACATTTCTGTCCTTTCGGCTTTGTCCGCTGTCCTTCATTGTTCCTGCTGATACAGAAGCTCCTCCGACTCCCAAGATCGAAAAATAGAAATCTGTGTTTGTCCATGTTTCTGTAACTTACTGTTTTTTACTGGGTTGGGTAGTTGGCCCTCCGCAAACTGGCACTTTTCGGGCGACCAGACCTTTTACGACACGCAGTATCACGGCAGGTGTATTCTTTGCTCCCCCATAGTTTATAAAATTAATTTCTTGTAACTAGTTTTGCCACAAAAAAGTATCATTGGTGAGCTGTGACGTAACCTATGGGGCCGCCCACCAGCAGGGGTGAACCATCCACGGATCATAGGGTCTCAGTACTACATGCCCTACTCGCTTCTCGCAGAGGCGAAAATGTCACACACAGTGAGGTCCAGGGATCTGGCATGCCAAGCGCAAAGAGCGAGGTCTTTAGCACCTCTCTTACCAATTCACTGCTGAGGCACGTTTTCATTCAGATGTTAAGCTCCTATTATACCCCGAGAGTCTTATGGGGCGATGCTCCATCTTGTTGAAAAATGAAGTCATTCAAACCTGCTTGCACTTGCAGTAAAGTGAATAGCCTGTTCTTATGTGTGTGACTGATTGTGTGCGTTGGGGGTGGGGGTGGAGGGTGGGGGGGGGGGGGTATGTTAAAGACAAGATTTATGTTCCACGCTTCCAGAAAATATCGATGACACGAAAAATCGAATAACAGCTTCAATCAACATGGTGGACCCAAACACCGTGAGGCGCGTTTAAGGGGAATTCTCATATGGGCTTGATGCTGTCTGTGATACCAGTGGTGGCCACATTGAGAGCACTTCTAAAACCTGAAATAAAAAATTGAGTAGGTGTATTCAACACATGTGTCCAAACTAGAGTATTCCATGGTTTTTCGTTTTTGAAATATCGCGTGGTGATTCTGGCGTATTCTTTTTTAATCACCCTGTATATAAACTGATCAGGACAGCAGTGAAAACAAGACACATTTGCACCAGCTAACTCACTCCAATTTATAATTTAAACAATAAACGACTCTTAAGCAGCCGCGCTTAAATGTATTTGAATTTGTTGTTTACGGCCAAAAAATGAAACATTTCTCACTTTTTTTAAATGCGGGATCTCTCCTTTTTAAAACTTTTAGTAAGGTTTTATGGCGCTCGCAACTGCATAAGGTCATATCAGCGCCAAGTGGTGGATGTCAACGGAGAAGAGAAGTCCAAACGGGGAATCAGGCTTACTCTGCTCACCTATCTAGCCTCACTAGTACAAAGTCTACTTCGGCTGTCAAAGCACTCCGGAAATAGCAGTTCACAAGAGAGCGACAAACATGCAAGAGAAGTAGAGGAAAAAATGACGATAGTAAGAAAGGAAAGAAAAAGCAGCAGTTCCCCCTATATTGTTCCGGAACAGTATGAGCATAACATTGATAAATCAGCCCATTTACAATTTTAATGTGCATAAAAACATGTTAATACCCCCCCCCCCCCTTTGGAAATGGCCTAAAGACAACTTCAGTCAGTAGCACTGCCCTGGTGGGGGGATTTAAAAAAAATTAAACTCGATACGGTACATAAAGTTCCCCACTCCAGAATCGAACTACTTGTAACACCTTTAGCATGAAAAAGTGAAGAGACTAAGCGTAGCACCACAGACATCGGTTTACCTGTGCGACTAATCGTGTTCAACAGGTGTCTTTTAATTTTAAGATGTAGCTGGGTTTTTTTCGCCCCTATCAACACAGTTTAGGTCATTTAGAAGGCGAGTTCCGACCCTTCCTGTCAAGACCAACATGGGCTGCAAGGGATACATCATCCCAGCAGAAAGACCAAGGAAGTCGATACTAATTTTCTCCACACTCGGCATCAACCTCGGGTCTCCTTCGTCAGACAGCGAAGCGCCAAGCCGCTACCCCACGGACGTCGGTGAACTGCTTTTTCTCTAAAATGTACGAAGACTGTACACCAAAATAGTATCATAATTGTAAATGTCTTGCACCCTAATTGACACAATTTAGGCAATTTAAGACTCGGGCAGTTTCAATTTTGTATGTCAAGGCCAACACGGGCGGCGTGGGATGGCATACTATAAATATCTTTTATTTTATCTCTCCAGAAAGATTCCAGATATTCGATAAAATACCTGCCATACACAATTACTGAACTCGCAGGCTTTGTATGCAAGGTCAAGAGCTTGACAATGACGTCACAGATGCAGGTGTCCATCCACTCAGTCATCCCAAATTATAAACATAAAGAAGTAATAAATGTTAATTTAACAAAAAGAAAAAGAATAAATGAACAAACAAACAAATAACATTATTCATCAATATGTTTATTCATAGGAAAAATCATGTCATTTTGTTTGAAAAAAGAGACTGATGAAAAATTATTACAAAAGACCAAAAGGACCAAACCTTTGTTACAAACCAGATGTCACACATGCCATGTTACAAATGAATACCAGTCACACAAACAACAGAAAAATGTCACAGAAAATCAGTCACACTAACAACAACAAATGCAACAACGGCGAGAAGAACGAAAGTATAAAAGTTGAGAAAAAGAAAATAAGCAACCAATAATTAGCGAAGACAGACACAGCAAAAGTCGCAATGTGTATTATTAGAGCAGGTTAGCTTTAAAAAAAAAAAATCACAACCAATCATCAAAAAGCCGAGGCAGAAGCAACCATAGCAGATCAAGAGCTTATCTGCTGTCAATAGGATGGGGTGGGGTAGGGAAGGGAAGGGTGGAGTGGGGTATAAAGAACCTTGCACTTGATGAAACCTTCAATCAACTAGTCTGCTGAAACATCGCACCAAAAAAAATATAAAGATTAAATAGGAGCTTTGATATAATCCTAACACAATTTTTGATCACACAATTTTATTCATAAAGCAACCAACACACCAACAGAATATTAATCTTTTAATGGAATAATTATGAGAACTTTCAACTATGTCATGACTCTTAAACAGAAAAAAGGCGTGGATAAACCCCCATTAGTACTTTTTCAACAGAAAACGAATGTCTCTAGTAGAATTTAACCCAATGGGAAAAAACTTCTAAGCAAAACGATATACAAGGAAACCTTTGGTTTAAGGAAGAAAGATCTGATAAAAAAAACTTAATATGAAAAGTTGTCCTGAATCCCTTCCTACCAAAAGCTCAACACCTTTACATTAGCTCCCCTTCACAAGTTTGTTCATTGTAATTTATCATCTCAGTATCCCAGAAGACACACAGATGAGGAGACTTTTGCCTCCATGTCAGTAACATGACTGACAGATTACAATTTTCTTATAATAAGAGTATCCAGCCTAAGTAGATGGCTCTCTCTTCTTATGATATGATCTCAGAAAGTTTATTCGTTAAATCCAAAAGTAAAAGTGTTTGACAAAAAAAAGATTACATGGACGGCAATGAATTCACGTGGTGCTTCTGACAGTCTAAAACTGTCAGACTGCACACATTCTTTCAGATTTACGGTATTCAAAAATTTATTTAAATTGAAACTGAAATAAACTTAATCAATCAAGCCCAAAATAGACGTGAATAAAGAATGCTACACTTACAAATCAAAATTCTTTTTCAATCCTCAGTGGAGGAAATTGGAGAAGGAAGTCAGCACAAAGAGCAGTTTGAAAGCTGGGCACCGATTAACGTAAAATATTATGTCAAAACAAACAAAATCTATCAAATCAGATACTTTTTCAGATTAAAAAAAAAAAAAACGTTCAAAAATCTAATGGCATTTTTTGGGGTGTGTTTCTACTAAGAAGATGAAAAAAGAATGTTCAAAAATCTAATGGCATTTTTTGGGGTGTGTTTCTACTAAGAAGATGAAAAAAGAATGTTCAAAAATCTAATGGCATTTTTTGGGGTGTGTTTCTACTAAGAGGAAAAAATCCTGGTAAGAAAACAGCTAAAAGTGCTGGTGGTGATTGTCTAGACTTCTGATCCTTATCTGGTTATCAAAGCTTGGAAAAAGAGGTTAAGCGGGCTGGAGAGAGAGGACCAAGAGCCAAGCACACACATGTATACTAGTGCAGACAAAAGACATACTAACACACACACAACAATGGTGCTTGAGAGAGAAGACCAGGAGCCATGTGCACACTTGCGTAGATACACATGCACAAACACATTCATACACACGCATATATATCCACACACAAAGATACAAGTATACACTCCCACACAAAGACACAAGGACATACTCTCTCCCTCTCACAAACACATAGACACACACACACACACACACACACACACACACACACACACACACACACACAGAGAAAAACAAAGGCTGTGGAAAACACAACTGACTATGCTACGACTAGAACTAGGACCAATATGGCAGAAACAGGAGTGCCCTTGAAGACTACTTTAGGCCAGGGCCTAGCGCACAACAGGGCTATCTACACTGCAAAACATGCACAGATCCTGGCATCATGAGGTACACACACAAGAGGGTCACATCACACAGCAGTCAAGAAGACGCTACCAGGAAACATCAGTGAACCATACGGTGTTACCACGCATCACCAAAGCCACACAGTGCTACGACACATCAGTCAACAGCCACACGTATGGACTTAATACACAACTTTCGTATTAATATACAAGTGTATCAAAACCACAATCCCTTCAGCCCTCTGGTCTCAAGCTTTGTACAACAATATCATACAAATATACGTCATCATTGGTCAGTTGCTCTTGTGGTTTCCGCAACAGTTTGTCATCAGCAACACTTCCGGAATGATACGTTACGAGCGATGGTACGATTGTGACTGTAATTAATACATTGTGACTGACTGTAATTAAAAATGATACGTTATGATTGAGGTGGCAATTTTCCTGACTTCAATAAAGTTAGCCTCACCTGTTTGGGTTGGAAGTGACAAGTTCTTATTGGGAACACATTAACAATTTTTCTTTTACTTCAAGTAACCAAGGTAAAACTTGAATTAACAGCAAAACGAAACCTTATGAAAATTCTTGTGCCTAAGATGACATCAAATTTAGCACATTATCAATACTTTTAAACAGAGAAATTTATGTTTTCAATTAAATGTAGCGGAAACAGACCATAAATATAAAATAAAAACCATGTATCGAAATTTTTTCATTTGATTGACTTTTTTGGTGCATTTCATAACCAGAGATATGACTATTTTGGCCGGAAACAAGTCCAAACAACAATAACTAATTTAATCCTGTAAGATACAGCAGACCAGAAAAAATGACATGCGACTGACCAACAAACCTTCTCTTTGAAGACGGAGAAGAAACAAAGAATAAACCCATTGCCTGTAGAGTAGAGATATATCGGCAAAGAGGTTGTCATGATGAGATTTGATTGCAGCCTCGAACCTACGATGTGCAACCAGATGGGAAGGGTAATGCTAAACTTTGCATAAGGAAACACAGACAGGCTTTTCGCCCAACAACCAAATCTCTTATAAATAAAATTAAAATAGGATGAAGACAGTCATGAACACAAAATGTTAAATTCACAAAGTAAATCTCAGTTGATTGAGGAGATTAAGCAAAACTCAAACAAGCACAATGTCAGCACTGTTAGTACTCATGAGATAACTAATCACAATGGAGGAGGCAAAATGATGATGATGCACTTTACAAGAAGCTCATGATTAAAATTCTAAAATAAAAATAAAAGACTTCATGTCTAAAAGCATGGTTCTGGAATTACTACAGTATGTGAATCATTTTTACATTCATACACACATCTGAGAGTCAAAATCAACACAACTCATAGAAGAACGCTCACCTCCAGTACCGTTGCATAATTCTCCGTCTGACAGTAATATCATGAGAGCAAGTCATGGTAGTAACAAAGGGAGATAATATCGCGAGTCGATGGTCAGGTCTGGGGGGGGGGGGGGGGGGCCTACAGTCCCCTCAACAATGTATTGAGCAACAACAGACGCTTCAGAATCACCTAATCATTATCTTATCCTATTCTTTCCTGCCAAGGGCTGTTTGCCGAATTACGCAACACACCAACCAAGTGAGATATGGCCTCAAACCTTGCAGCAAACTATTTTCAAACTTGAGTACAGCTTTCAATAAATTAATACATCTTCTCTGTTCTCTTATAATGTGAATGTCATCCATTAAAGCTATCATTTAACACTGTGAAATCATATACAACAAACGAGTCCAAGTTCGACTGACAGTAAACACATGGACTTGAACATGTCCCTGTTTCACCAATCTTTTTCACCATGCCTTAAAATCCTCTCCTGTGACAGTAACCTTGATAACTTCACTAAGAGGACACAACAGCCCAGGGCAAAAAGCTAATGAATCCAGTTTCGGACAGAATGAAACAGGGACTGACTATTCTTTTAAAACTCGTACAAGACAATGTAGTAACATTGAAGCATTGTACGCAATTCTACAAAACGTAAGCTACAAATTCCACAGGGGAACAGAGTGCAGTCAACGTCATTTGGCTAGCTGAACCAAATGTTAAAACGATAACTGAGGCCTTGGGGCCATGACAAATTGATGACTGTACACAAAAGGTAACATTGTGCCACCTCTCCACTTTGGACAACATTACACATATAACGGGATATCGTCCAAGCTTTTGTTTTCTCTCAATCAGCACAACACCAGACACATTTTTGCCAGGCATAGAAAAGAACAATAAATACGATAAAAAGAAGTACAAGGAGCAGGCAACACAGGAGCAGCCATCAAGCACCCGCACCAAGAGGTAGAAGGAAAGGAAAAGTAAAGCATTATCACACCAGAACGTAAGCCCTGGGTCAGTGTTTTTAGTCCATTGTAGGTCAATGTTCTGCAATCACAACACGCATGCTTTTCAGAACCCACATAACCAACGTAATTTCTAAGACTACATTCAGTTAATTGGAGAGGTTCAATTATTGGACTGACAGAGAATCTTAACTGACACATATTACGATTCAAGAACTCGTGTTTGTGAACCACATCTAAACAATGAGGACTTCCACACTTTCTAAACACACTGGATGGATTCAGGATCTACGGTTGCTTTCAGACAAGACGACTTCTCAACTCTCGAGTCCATAACACAGCACATGGTTTGTACAGTAAACAACTACAACTGACACCATTTCTCTACACATACCCAAACCTAGAGCTTAAGTCCCAATAGAAACTTCCACCAAAAAAAATCTGTACCAATTCTGTTTACATGAAACACAACCAGCACTGACCGCCATTTTGAAATTTATGGTACCATAAATAAAAACTCCCTACACAAACTGTCCAAAAACTTCCATTTGGAATTTAAACCTTGGCCATTTGCACTGTAGTTAAAGCATTATACCAACTGAACTATCATAGCTCCCTTTGTTTCGAATGGATATACATAATGTAGGGGACAGCTCACGATGCAAAGCCCACGAGTCGGAAAGGGGCTTAATACTTACAAAGAAATGAGATTCCAGACCCTTGTCCTTCACAACACAACAATTGAAAAATTCAAAAACGTAGAAAAAGGATATAACGAATAAATCTGTTTGAAATTCACTGGGATGATATAGTGCAGGAGCACTGTAGAATTTAATCACAAGATATGTACTGGACAACCCCAAACTCCAGCCTATGACAAGACACTGACAGGACAAGGTGGCATGTGTGTACGTGTTTGTGTGGCTCTAAAATACATTTATTTAGGCTGTCTTTTACAGCGAGTCAGCGAGATGACAGCCACATTTCACCAGGAAGCAGAGAAGGACTTATTAAGTGACACTTGAAACAATGTGGAAGGGGGTGAACTTGCTCCAGAGTACCACCCACCCACACATCATAATGATGTACAATGAGGAAGGCATCACAGGGTTGTCAAGAAATGTGTCGATGCAAAGGCCATGTGACCAGGACAAATGTAAAGAGTGCACTAGAAGAGGAAGAACACACAGAGAGCTTTATAAGGCAGTGCTTGCCAACCTGGGCAGTACCACACACACACTACTGGGCAATTTGGTAATTTTGGTGGGCAGTGGGGATCATATAGGTAGTGACCGGTGTTATTTTATGTCCCGCTGGATGTAGGTGGGCGGTACGAAAATTTAATCGCTTAAATGTGGCAAAAGTAGGCGCTGGCTATAAAAATGTTGACAGGAACTGGTGTATATATAGGGCAATACTAGTGGCTATTATTAAGGCTGGTGCAGACTGAACAATACTACCATGCTGACCTTTTGACCTTCACAAATAAAAGCAATCAAACATAAATCTGAATACTAACTAGAGAAACGCAATTCCAACTCTGATCAGCTAAATTTTTTAGGGAATATCTTAACTAGAAAGATTCACATAAAGGTGTGCTTCTGCCTTTCATGGCAAGAAAATTCAGGGCAAGGTAAGCACACATAGGATTTTAAGAGGTAAGGAGTGGGCATGACGGCAAGGTCTGACAGTTAAGGCTGATGAACATAACCATAACGAAGGATCAAACAAAGTGAGCAAAAGGGGGTTGGGGCACATTTCTGAGCTAGCACACAGACAAACCTGTATTGTAGTTGTCAGCGGGGAAAAGACCTGCGTAGTTATGTTAGAATTGGAGGTGTAAATAATATTTGTTTCGCTGAACTATTCACACCCCTCCCCCCTTTTCAACCAGAATTGCAGCACAGTATAACAATTGCATCAAGAGTCATCGAAACCATCTGCCATTATCGTATTGCTGCAAAGACCACAACACTTTGAGAGGTCGATTCGTAACTTTATGAAGGCTTCAAAAGGATAAGATGTGGGAGGAAAAACCGACTTTGCAAAGCACAAAAACTCCACATGATAGGACACCGTTCAAACTTTGTGATTTGACGTGCAGCACAGTACAACCTTGCATCAAGAGTCACCGAAATATTCTGTCATTATAAAATTTCTGCAGAGACTACAACACTTTAAAAAGTTGATTAGAACTTTATGAAGACGAAGATCAGACACGGGGAAAAAGCAACCTTGCAAAAAAATAATAAATCTACAAGATAGTTAAACATCGTTCAAACTTTGTGAGTTGATAATGACCATAGTCATAAGAAGACGTCACTATTAATGAAGGTAAACAGGGAACTAAACAGATAAAGAAGCAAGTACAAAAACACAAATACTACCATGCTCCATTGAGGGTTGAACATAAATACAGGAAATAAAATGGTTGATGGACATCTTCTCATTCTTGCAAAATTTTCAGAAATTAGGAGAACTTACGCGAAAAGAAATGTTCACATTGTACATAAACAGGGACGTACACTTTCATTCACAAATATGTTCAAGTCAGGGAGTGAAAACTTCCAGAAAAGTGGCACTACGGAAATACTGAAGTCATGAGGACTGGGGTGAGACTTGACTCATAATGATTCATGTTTGGAACAATGTAAAATATGTTAAGTACGTCATGAACACAGCGTGAGAGAAAATTCAAAATTCTTGGCAACTAATCTCTTTCGTTTATCAGCTGACTTGAATGGTTAAACAATCAGCCATCCCCGATTCGTTTATCAGCTGACTTGAATGGTTAAACAATCAGCCATCCCCGATTCGTTTATCAGCTGACTTGAATGGTTAAACAATCAGCCATCCCCGACTCGTTTATCAGCTGACTTGAATGGTTAAACAATCAGCCATCCCCGACTCCCCTCCCTCTCAATGAACATTGCAAGGCAACAAACAGAGCTAATACACACTCAAAAACGTCTGCTTCTCTGAGGACCTTTCTTGCAAGGAGGCAAAAGAGATAAATAAATGATTCTTCCTTCAGGGATATCTCAAATGTTCAGAAATATGTAATGACCACAGAGTATAAACCTTTCACATACAATTTGCGTAAGATAATTTCACAGGCATTCATATATGAAACTGTCTTGCACATAAACCTTGCAAATTAGAAAACAAATTCAAAATCTGTGTTAATAATTATATTTTCCTATAAACATTCAAAGTTTATCAATTAATTCACTCTCATTCGTATATTACATCACTTACTTTATAAGTCTCTCTCACTTTACCTCACAAAAGCATTTTGATTACCCTGGGCATTCTTCAAGTCATTCAATAGACATCATGCGCCAATTTTCACAAGTATTCAGCTGTCACTTGGCAACAAGCAATAGCAGACTTATGCCCCTCATTCCTATATTTATTATTATAACATCACTTATTTTAAGTCTCTCTCACTTTACCTCACAAAAAGCATTTTGATTACCCTGTGCATTCTTCAAGTCATTCAATAGACATCACATCATACGCCAATTGTCACAAGTCATTCAGCTGTCACTTGGCAACAAGCAATAGCAGACTTATGCCCCCTGGAGGCAATGGTCAGTACACATGGTTCTGGTCAGGCGTTTTGTGAACTGTATTGGGGTGCTATATGGCAAAAGTGCATGGGGGGAATTTGATGGTACCCTCCCTATATCGTGATATGACTTGGTTCTTTCTTTGAGACGGAACATTTTATCGGCGTTGCAAACAACCCACATACTCTACAAAACCTCAAATTACCAGGAAACAAAATCAAAAAGTACATTTAAACAATAGTTACAGGTAAATCAGAACTGTACACAGTCCATAGTAGACATACTTGGGCATTAATTTGAAAAGGACAAGCTACCCAGAATAAATAGAGAAAAAAAAATATTTGCTATTGAATACTCATGCCAAGTCTGCAAGCATGCTAAAATCATAACACTATACTATTCACAAATTTCTCAACTCGCATATATGGAGATCTATCTGTTTAGGTCCAAATTTTGAAACAAGCACTCAGAGTGTGAAAAACCAATTTTGAAGGTATGCGAATTGTCCGCAAGGCCGATGTTTTGAGATGGCAACAATTGGGATGGGGACACAAATTGATACAAAATATGATAAATAATGCATGGAATGCTCTACAAGGAAGGGGGAGCGGACTCATCCCTCTGTGTTCTCCCCCCGTGCTGCTGTGGAGTCTCCGTGTGCTAGATGCTGTAAGGCAAATCATCATCAGGGCACACCCTGACCACACACACACACACACACACACACACACACACAGGTAGGCTGGAGGTTCGAACCTCCTTCAGTCACAGTCCTTTTCTCAAGATTTTGTGTGAGGTTTGTGAGGTTAATGAAATGATTCTTTAAAAATCTGCTTTGGCATGTGTCGTCTTCAGATGGCGAAAAGACATGAGAGCAGCATGATCAGTATGAGAAAAGAGAACATGAAGATGTTTTAAAAGTTGGATCTGGCCAGAGAACACAATGCCAGTCAAGTTGCCTGTCGTGTTGTACTCAGCACACAACGGCTGCAGTCAGCACATCTCCACTTCAACTTTATCTATGACCCCTAAAAAATTTGTTTAATTGCTTATCTTGGAGGCTCAAGTATGCCTTTTCTACTTGTAAATGAAGTTATAGGTGTTACTTGAGCAGTCATTCAGCCTCTATTTTTATTGTTCATACCAACATTTTTCAAGCTAGGGAGACTAAACTTTTAAAGCGCATGCCCGTTTTCATTACAATGATTACATAAACAGTGTCAGCATACCCCGTTACTGGACACATAGGGCAACATAAAAACTTGTACCACCAAGAAACAAATCCTGTAATATGAGACCCTTTAACCTTTCAATAAGATGCATTGTGAATTCAATGGTGTGTCAAGATGTGGAAAATTGTGCAATTACATGATGTACCAGGTACATCCATATTATATAATATAAATATGGCATGGAAGAGGTTTTAAAAGCAATCTTTAAAATTTGCAAGAGCTTAAGGATGCCCTGAACATTTACATGCTTGCTAGTTCACCTCATATTAGTGTAATATGGTAAGATGCGTAGCGTCATAAGGGTATGGGCAGTACATTAAATGAACTTTAATAAATCATTAATCACTAACATCATCAACATTTTGTCAGAGATTAAACTTGCACAATGACTGCTTTCTTATACTACCACACAACTTACAGCCAACATTACAGAAAGAGCGACTTCCATCACATTCCCACTGGTGGCACTATGTAAGACCAAATTTCCCCTTCTCTATAGCCACATACCCTCACAACAAATATACAAAACTTCACCCTGGATCAGAGTGCACAACTCAGACTTCCTATGAGACTTCATAAACACAGTCATCGCATCAGAGCATGAGTACGGAGGTGAGCACAGATCAAATGGCTAACATTTCTGTACACTAACAGAGTCAGAGTATAACCATATTAGCAAGACTATAGGTATCTGTAAAGTAGAGTTTCAAATACAGCCATTTTTCACCATATATATAATATATTCGTTTCATGTGTGTCCAACAATTAACAACCTCATATAAAAATTTGTTAATGATTCGTCCAACCCAAAAATAGACCAGATATTGACTGAAAACTCAAGTACGTAACCAGTGCACTTTAAAAGTGCTGAACAGAAGTAAGTATACGTATACACTTTTTTGAAAATAAATAACAACCATGCAGTAAAAACCCAATACTTACTGAACAAACACAACACCCAGTTACAATAAAGTTCAGCAAAATTGTTCACAACCAACAAAAATATTGCAGTATGCTGAATAAATATAAGCTTGCATCTTACATGCGTTTGCATTTGAAAAATTATTTTCCTGTACACACAAGACACAGAAACAAACGAGGTCTTTCTGTAAATTCATTTGAAGAAGAAAACAATACTGTTCAAGAATGAATTCTGTACCACAGCCATAGGCGGACAGCTTTTACCCAAAGCCTGTGTGGACTTGAACTTAGGGGAGAGAACCAAGGGAGGTTGTGTCAATATCTGGACCCAACCAAAGAGTGACAAGAGTGAGCATTTGCCTAATGACCGACAGAACAGACAATTCAGATTCAGAATAAAGATTTCACTAAACAGTTTGCAGGCCTGCAGTCAAAACGTTTCAATTACAAAATAATACCAATCTTTTCTTACTCCTACATCTCAGAACTATGACAAAAGTAATAGCTTTGTTCTCAAGCATGATGGAATTTTCTAGCACATTTCTATTTACAAAATAAGTCTGTTTTGCACGATAAAGGATCTTTCTAAATAAAATAGTATTCTTCTAGTACAGTCAATCTATTATAACACACCAAATGTAAACTAAAGAGGAGGCAAGTACTTTTGAACATAACAGACGTCTTAAATGTCATTTCTCATCAAGGATTATATTCAATTGGTTCCCTTTCACTTACTAAAACTGCACCTAGAATTTCTGGACTTTATGAGTATGCACAGTTCATAAGAGAAAATACTTTACCAGAAACCATTAAATAGCGAATGTAAATGGAACTTTTTAACCCCAGGCCCCCATTCTGTCAGTCCGAGGCAATGAAACAACACAGGCTAGACAAAGCCTGAGTGGGTTAGTACTGGCCAGCTCATGATGATCAAAACGTAAAAAATGTAAAGAACAGAACACATTGATTTTTCCGTCCGAGTCACACATGGCACTGCGGCACAACCGCCCGAGTCACTGGCAGTAACCGCCCAGCGACGTGTGACGAGGGACAGCAGTGTTGAGTAGGTCGGGAAAGGGCAACAAGTGTAGAAAGATTCCAGAACCTGCAGCCTCCGCACAAACTTCACGTCATTGTTTCATCAAAAGAACGACCGTCACACCAGAAACTCCAGCCACTATCGTAAACTTCACTCTTATACCACGGCTCATCCACTTTAAGCTTACAGACCATACACATGGATGAGAATTGGAAGGCGAATCACTTCGGCTGTTTAGAAAAAAAACACAGAAATAATGAATTTTCCTTTCTTGAGCGATTCTGGGCACAAAACAGTTGTCCACTGCTATAAGGTACTGGGCCAAGGATTGATTTTTTTCCATTCAAATCCTCTCCACGATGAGGGCACCCATACCATTCTTATTTATCATTACGATTAATAACATTCAACACTCATAGCAAGTTTACCAAAAACATCCCTTATCCTTGCAACGACAGTCAACATCCATGGCAAGCTTACTGTAAAAGTTATCATTGCCTACCAGCACCGACACCATACAATCATAGCACACCTACCGAGCATATCCCTTCGTACCTGCAACAACATTCAATATTCATGGCAAAGGTTTACAGCATAGTACAAAAATATAGATTTATTCATCAGGGGGCCCCAAACACATAAGTGCCAAACACCTGCAACTTTCAGACGGGCATGCTCTGACATCAACACAAGCAGCACAGCAAACACTCGATTACAATCTTTGCATTTCATCCTCACAAACACATTTGCAGCCACACACCATTTAAAAATAATTTTATGGAATCAAGGCTTTTTCTCCATTTAAAAAAACTCTGTCTCATGGAGAAACCTGTTGAATAGGATACATTTTTAACAGCCAGATTTGATTTCTGTGACTAGTTAATGCTTCATACTTGCGTCCGTAGAATATTCTGTAATTTGGAGATAGCACATCCACGGAGTTGGAAAGGTAATAAAACCAAATCCGCAAGTCTGTGCTCAACAACTTTAAATTTAGGAAAAGTTACCTTCCTCCCAGACATTGAAGACCCACAAAGATTGGGCTAATCCAAGCGTAATCCAAGTGTCCAGAGCGAGGGGTCAAACAGAGGACTTGACATCACTTTCTCCTAAACAGGATGCTATTTCGACATGGGATTACCTCCAGAAGACACAGACATCCATTTTCCACCACGGGTGAGGGCACACAAAGATTAAAAGTATCTTTCCGAAGAACCCAGCATCCACAAAAGAAACCTGTAGATCCCCCCACCATTTCAATATTTCAACATCTCCAAGAGCATAAGCTTGAGTGAGGGTATGTGGTATGGACACATGCTGTATAAAGTCGCTCACTCCATGACAACCAGTTACTCACATCTTGTTAAGGCTTTCACAGTCCACATTTGATTGATTGTCGAGGCAAATCCCTTTTCACCTCACGCAAAAGAGCTGAAAAAAGTTGTTCACTGGATGGATGACATGGACTCTCTCACAAGGTGCGTTAAATTCGCACTCAAATAATAATTCCTCTAAAGAATGAAATAGCTTCTCATAATGATAAGTCAACTTTTACCTCACCGACGAATCACGAATGGCGTTAATTTTCCTGATAACCCATGTTTCCATTCAAAAAGATGAATCGTCAGTTGCACGGATTCTCACAAATGAGTCATGTATAACTCAGGGATGAATCACCGATTGCTTAGCTTCCTACAAAAAGTCTTGTCTCTCTAATCTAGGCAGGAATCACCAATCCTCTAAGTCCTGGCCCGCCCCGTACATGTCGGCGAGTTTGGAGAACTTGGGCCCCCAGTCGTTGAGGTAGTCGTACTCGTGAGCGCGCTCGCTGCTGCTGGTGCTCAGGCTGCTCAGGCTGCCCGCCTCGCTGTCCCCGCCCTCAAAGTTGAACTCTCTAACGGCGTCGTGCGGCGGGGCCCCATCGTCGTTGTCTGCGTCCTTCATGCGACCGTCGATGAAGTTACCTACATCCGGTTTGTCTGGGCCTGCATCTGATGGAAAATCACAAATGTAATTACTCTAACAATGAATAATGATTTATATTATTTTATTGATCCCCATAGGGAAATGTGGGTTACAATGGCAGATATACATACATAAGTACATAATCAAACACACACACATACAGAGCACACCAAATACACAATTCAATTTATCACACCAATGCAGAACAATTTCATGAACATATCACTGCTGGTTGCCATTGTGGAACGCCCTGTTTTTTAGCTGTGTTTTACTCAATGACGCACCCCAATGACCACCCATCTAAACCCTGTGTCACGACACTTACTTGACATTATTTACGGGTATGAGCTCATTACTCACTCGGCCACTGGAGTTTCAAAAGGGTCACATATATTTAACCCAAAGTGTTGGACCTATAAATACCTCAGTGAAAGATAACTCAAGCTCAAGCTCAGATTGCTGCTGGGCCCTTTTCTTATTTTTTTAATGGTAAGAGGAGAAATACAGAGCTCCCCCTTCCCATCATCATAGGGAGAGGAGAGTGTCTCCTTTTCCATTAGTTCACATAGTACCTTACTATAACATTTAAATATATATGAAAAATTTTTCAAACCCATTTTGAGCACTTTTTAATGCCCTTCAGAGTGAACAAGACAGCCAAATCTCGTTGGCATAGTATCTTATGGGTGGGAGAACAAACATACTTTGATTGGACTATGGAAAAGAGGATGAAATTTATGTAGAGGATTAACGTTAATATTAATAGCCTTAAATATTGTAAACCTTATCTGAAACTAGACAAAATTACAAGATGAACCCCAACCAAATTAGAAAACACCAGAAAACTAAAAGAAAAGAGCATGGGGTGCAAGACACATTCTTTCCTTTTCAGAAAACCCCCCCCAAAAAAACTCAGAAAATAATTTTTCACCAATAACCACTTAAAAGTTTCCTGAACATGACTTATAAAGGTAGACTTGTGAAAGCCATTACAAGACCTGGTTTCTAGGAACCAAACCTGCAAGCGGCTTGACAGAAAACAAGCACGCCCCTTTCAGAGACACAAAGACAAGAAATGAACTCACTGGACAGTTGCACGTCTATCGGGACAAGTAACAAACTCACTCGATTGTTTCATGTCCATCCGTCGCTCCATGTCGTATGGTCGACCCGGCGTCTCAAAGTTAGCGCGCTGCAGTCTGAACAGGTCATAGGCATCCTGGTCTTCTTCTCCTGGTCAGTAAAACAACGAAAAGCTGTTAGTTAATCTTTTCATTAGAGGTGCCTACTGACAACTGAAAAATAAAATCCGGAACTTTTTACACTCCAGAGAAATATCATCGCACGGACTAAAAAGTTTACGGATCATATTGCCTAATACACCATATATAAATAAGTCAGGCAACATCCCGATAATGCCAGAAATCTGGACTTTTGGATTTATCTGAAAAATCGACACCTCTGTTTCAAGACTAGAATAATAACAAAGTTAGCATACATCCATACCCTAAGAGAAGAAGAGATCTATCCAGCTCTTAAAAAACCATGGAAAGCATTATCCATAAATATAAAAAAAAGACACTCATCAACAAAAAGCAATGAGGAAGAACATACACGTTCTTCAACATAATTCCCAGCAAACAGTGTTTAAAAAAAACATAATTACAAGCAGACCAACAAAAAACAACTGAAAACTGCAAGAGCAAAAAAAAAGACATAGCCACATTTTAGTGATTTTGAGATATCATAAATTTTAAAAATTGGAACTTCATACCTTTGAAATTTTCTCACTACATTCTGATATGAACCCCACCACTTTTCTTCCTTCAAATTTTATTTTGTGTCAGCCAGTAGTTTCAAGAAGCCCGCATGGTGGTTACTAAAAATAATAAAAGAAACGTGACTGAAAGTTTTGGCCCTGTAGTCCTTATAAAATAATAGAATCAAGTCAGAGCAACAAAATATAATATCAAAAGAACACACCAGCTCCTTCCTCGTCATAGTTCATCACATTCTCCCTGATGTCATCCTCCGCGTCCACCTCCAGGATGTATTTCTCCCCCTCGTCGCGGTGCGGGCAGAACCTCCACAGCAGGAACACGATAAGGGCCAGCACTGGGGACAAAGGAGAGGAAGACGGCACTGAGACACCCATGTACAAGCTGATTTCTATCTCACCTAGATAAACCAGACAAAATAATTATGGTCTCAGGTCCATGAGAAATGTGTCATGGTGCGGTGAGATCAGCGAGAAAATGACCAGCAAGGTTTGATAACTCTAATAGCTGGAGCCCTTAACAACTGAAAAATGATATATTTTGTGCCTTTAATCTACGTTTTTCAGTAAAATTCACATGGAAATATGTTTTTGTATGGACATAAAAGGGGTTGAGCCAAACAACAAAAATTTGATAAAAATGTCCACGATTTCGCTATTTTGACGATCGCCTGATTTCCCCACGATGCCTCACAAATTGTCTTTCTTAAACACCTACGCAAAGCATAAGGACTGGTAAATGAAATTCATTACATATTCTTTCTGTACAAAGCAAATGACAACAGCCCTACATCCATTACAGTCTTTCTTTATCATCAACTCAAAGCACACAAAGATTATCTGTGCATTCCCAGTTCAGAATTCATTAAACTCACTCTCACATATTGTAAACACTACAATTATTTTACTCCCTCATTTTTTTTCAGAAAATAAACTCATATCAAATCATTTTTTAAATACAAAGCATCTTTAATGATGAGCACCGCTTGAATGACAACCTGACAGGTCCTTCCCCTTCACCCCCCCCCCCCCCCCACTTTTCCCTTCTCTCTCTCTCTCCCTCTCCATCTTTCTCTCTCTCCACAAATCTCCAACTCACATATAACGACAATGAGCGACACAAGGATGATAAACAGAGCTCCATCTGACAGCTCTCTCTCTCTCTCTCTCTCTCTCTCTCTCCACAAATCTCCAACTCACATATAACCACAATTAGCGACACCAAGATGATGACCAGAGCCCCATCCGACAGGTCCCCGCTCTTGACCTCCTCCGGGCCCAGCTCGTCACAGAACTGACCGCGCCAGCCTGGCGGACACTGACACTTGATGTCGCTGTTGACGATGCTGCAGGTCACGTTGTTGAAGCACGGGTTGGGGATGCAGCTGGAGAAACAGTCGTTGCCCACCTTACGAGAACCCGGGAGGCAGCTGGGAAAGAATGATAATAATGATGAAAATAGTTATAATTATAATAATAAAAAATAACAATAACACTAATAATACTAAAAATAATAATAGTAGCAATAGCAATATATTACTCTCCAATATAACACTGACTACTGGGACACAAAAAAAATGTAGTTTTAAGCAGGCTCTGTATTCAAGCACATTTTACAAAAAACACTTGGTTACTTCGGAATTTTATTTTAGCAGAAACATGACTGAGTACTTCATTGTAACTGGATCTCAAATCCTGACTACAAACAGTCACTAGTCACTTTAACTATTACACTCGTACAAAATCAAGTTTTTGTTTTACATCTTCATCCACACAAATAAGACCATTTAAGAGGCAGGCTGCTCTAACCCCGCTTGCTAGAACTGACCCAGGATGAGTGGGATAATGCATTCACACAGAAAGACAGACAACTGCCTACTCATTTCCAGTGAGAATCAAGCTCACGTCTTTAGTGAGCAAGGCAAGGAGCCTAAGCGTGAAATTCCACACCCCAGAGGCGGGTTCTGTACTCACCGGCACTCGTGGAACTCCCAGAGCGGCACACAGATCGTGTTGACCTTACAGTTGTGGCGCAGACAGTCCTCGCGCACGCATCCTTCCCGTGTGTTGCGGTTCTCCTCCACCCGCGCCATTGTATCGGGGTCGTTGCCCTCGGCGTCCGTCATGGCGAAGTAGCCGTCGTTGATACGGACATCCTGGATACAAGCTGAGGACAGCACAAGATGGTCGTATTAGTTTGTTTGTGAACTTAAGAGGAGCACATTGAGACGATAACAACTTTTTAGGGCAGAAGTAATCAAAAAGAGAAGTGGAACCCAACAGTGGCACCCAAGAACTACTCCCAACGATAGTTGTAAAGTTACCTTTGTACCGAACCATATACACATACGCAACCTATGGAAACTGATTGCTGGCAAAAAGTAAGACAGACAAGAACAATAAAGGGGAAAAAACAGAAGTAAGACCTACCACAGAAACCCTCCAACCATCCGCTAACTCCTCTGACAACAGACTTACAACTATAACAGACCAACAAAGCAACCATCTCGACTTACTGCTGATGAGGTCCTCCCGGAGCACCGAGGAGAGCCCCAGGCCTTGCTTGACCGCTCCCGAGAACACCATGCGGCTCACTTTGAACACCTCCAGCTCTGTCCCTCCTTCAGAGCCCAACCGATAGGCGTAGTTACGCCCCTCTCCGCCATCCAGCCGCAGATGGAATTCAGTGCCGTAGCGGTCCATTCGCAGACGGTGCCACCGACCATTGTTGGCCTGGGCATTCTCCAGATCCAAAGTTTTGTCGCCGTCACCCAAGTTGAACTGTAACCTGACTTTGCCATTATGAAGCTGTAGGACGAAAAATAATGAGTCAAGTTTCTTTGTTTGAGTAAAGAAAAGAATATTGACATAATAACAGTCATTAAGTGCAAGGAAACAAAGTAACCTGGAGACGCACAGTAGTCTGAAATGAAGTCCTGGAATCATTCGTGGGGAACGCTGACCAAGATGGCCCAAAACAGTCAGAGCTGGAGATCCTTTGTTGCTGCCCTAAACGCCAGATGGCGTAACGGGTAGTAAGTAAGTAAGTGCAAGGAAAACGCAAGGCAGACAGCCAGAAACAACAGAGGGTGAGAAAAGAAGTACAACTGACCTACTAGTGGTGCCCTCCAACTACCCCGTGTGATGAGTGACATGGACCAATGATGAAAACACCTATGTAGATGTCAGAGGCAGTCACTTTCAGGTCAATCAACCTAAACTGCAACTTACTTTCACAAAAATGTATTTTCCTACGAGAATCTGAGCTGGAGCATTTGTGGAGCAATTACCTCTCTATATGTCTTTAAAAATAAACTTTTGGATTTTGAATATTGGTGTTTTTATGCCCCTATCAACACAATTTAAATTACTTAGGATCAACTCTGTCTGTAAAGGCCAGTCCTGGATGAGAGATACATTCCAGCTTGCTAATAAAAATTATTTGTATATGGAAACTGAATCTAATTTTTTAGTATGAGAAAATGAAGCGCCTAACTGCTACAGCAAAGACACCAGTTCACCTCTCAACAATTGTTTGAGTGGTTGTGTAAAAGATGTAGATGGGTGCTGAAGGGGAGCTCAGAGCAAACCACCATGACAACATCCAAACTTTGTCATGAATGAGATTTAGGCCAATAATAACACTGGGAAGAAGTAAAAGGGGTAAACCACACAAGAAAGCCTAAAAAAACAGTTACGAAAAGAGATATAGACAAGTTTACTTCTGTGTAAGGATAAATTGAAGCCCATCAATAAAGCAACACAACTACGAGGTTACTTTTATCAAGGACTAACCAAGATGATAGACAGGAAAGACATGGAAACGAAAAGGGAAAAAAAACACCCCAACACATTATATGAGAGAGATTCTTCTTCAAGTGCCAGGCCTGAAGCAACCATTGGTGATCATGGTTCACCACTTATTTCTCTGCTCAGACGTCCTAAAACAAATCTACATCCTGGTCTTTTCCCATCACCCATCTGTACATGATCTCAAATATATTATTTTTTGAGTGAGATGCTACAAACTATCATTTCTAGAACTGTTTTGGTACCTTGAGCTGAATGTGCCGAGCAGACTCTGATGACGAAGAATCGTACATATCCAACAAGATGCCATTGGTCTCCCTCGTCCGGAACATGAGCTGTGCGCTGATCTCTCGGTTGCGACTGAGTCGCTGGGAGGAAAAGAGCTCTTCCTTCATCATCCACAGGTAGTAACTTTTCTTGCCAAAGTCTCGCACTGTGGCCGCTGGGAACATAATAATAGATAGCATTTGTACAGCGCAAATCCCCACTCAACAGCAAGCTCTATGCGCTTCACAATCCATATTATTACCCCAGCAGACCTGAGAGCTTTCTGAAACAACCTAAACTTCCTGGGAAGCATACAATGCAAGCAGTCATTTGTAGGCGCTAAAACACGAACACACTGACAAGATCTTTCGCTGTCTGTGGCCGGGTCCACCTGGGTGAAGTGAGGAAAATTCAGGTTAAGTACCTTTCCCAAGGACACAACGTTGGGTCGACGGCTCGAACCCCCGAACCCGCAACCTCACAATTAGGAGTCCGGTAGCCTAACTACGAGGCCACCGACGCCACAAAATGTACAGGAAAAAATTTAAATAAGAAGAAAAACTCCATTCATAAAACACAATGCTAAGCTCTACGGTATGCTCTATGCACTTTACAACTATTATTACCCCAGCAGTCCATAAAACACTCCGAAACATTCTCAGCTTCCAGGAAAGCATACTGTGCAAGCTGCAGATTACACTTGCTGAAATGCTAACAAACTGACAATGTCTATAGCAGTCAAACCTACACTACTGACCACCTGTCCAAGACAATCACTTGAACAAATTACTACTTCCCTATTCTCTCCTTTCGTTTAAAAAAAAAAATTGATTTAAATGATACTGTCTAAGAGAACCATATTTCCGAGACAACCGCTTTTCTCTTCGATTTTGACAGTTGTCTTGGGCAGGTTCAACTGTACTTGACCATTAAAATGTCTCTTTTTTAAAGCACTCATCAAAACAACTTTGGGGAAACAACAGCCAAAGACCACTCTGACATACATGAAAACAGCTATATTGGTTTACTCTTCTGCTTGTATCACTTTTTCCCGAACCCAAAATGCCCATAATTGCGTTTCTCTTTGACTAACTTAAACCTCCAACTTCTTAACCTCTTCACTGCTGAGCCCAACACTGTGTCGAGGAAAGATTAAAGAAAAATCCCCCCCCCCCCCCCAAAAAATGACGTACAAAATAATGATTTCCTCAAACAGTATGGGGGCCTCTTGCAGCTCTCAGTTACTTAGTTGGATTATTCGAGCACGGATCTGGCGAGAAGAGGGTTAACAACCAGACTTACGTTTGTCACAGGACTTGCCGAACCATCCAGGCAGACACTGGCAGGTGACCAGCCCGCTGAGCGAGGACTCACAGATGCCGTTGAAGCCACACTCCGGCTTGGAGCTCCCCCGCCCGCAGAACTCAGCCTCCGGTGGGCAGCCGTTGTTCCCAGTATTGATGCCAGACACAGGCTTGTAGTGCAGGTCGTACAGCTGGGGAACATGACGAGGACAAAGCCATTTCAGAATGATGTGCAAGTTATTTTTTCTTCATATACATTTTGCTGTTCTTATTTTTTTTTAACATTGTCATTATTGATATTATTAATCATTACAATCCATATGATCTTAGTGTTATTATGATTATTTTTATCATCATTAATATTTTTCTTAAAATCATTATTATTAACTTTAAAACTGTCATTGTTTTTGTAGGGGCTTTTGTAATAATTATTTTTAACATCTTTATCCTTACTGTAATGATAGACGTGATGATTATAATAAGCCCCCAAAAGTATAAAACATGTAAAGGACATGCAAGAAGACACTAAAAAAGTACAGAAAACAAGCCCTGAGATACTCCAGAATACAACTAGACGTGTAAAACACAACCAGAATACTTCCTTACCCTTTTGTTGTGGACTAAGTTCTTGATGCAGCCGTTGAAGCCCACGATGGGGTGTCCTGACAGGTGATTGAGAGGCTTGGCAGCCTGCACGCCACCCAGGTGAAGGTGCGTGTCCACATTGAGAAACGTGTTCTCCCCCGGTGTTTCCGCGCGCACACGACACGCCTTATCATCCTGCACGTGTTGACGCTGCGACTCCGCCGTGCTGCACCGATCCACCACCAGCTCCACCATCTGGGGATTTACAAATTTTGTGCATTATAATTTTATGCCACCATAAACGTTTTGCTGCAATCTGAAACTCTAACAGCACCACTGTGAAGACAATACAATGAATCATATTTCTTTCCATTCCAGTCAGCCTCTCCTAAACACCTAGACAACCTCAATAATCTCTGAACTGCTCTGATCCAAATTCCACATTGTTAGGTTGTTTCAAACTTGAAAACTCGGATATAAAGAAACACCCAAGAACATATGGACTTCTAAATTCCACATTGTCAAATAGTTTCAGAGAACAAAAAAAATTTACTGAATCTTGATATATTGAATCCTCCCCCCTAAAGAAAAAAAAAGCGTGGTTCTGTGTCTCCTTCTCCCCTCAATTTCTTATCCATCAGCTTTCTTACTCATGACCTGTGCCTACTCACCTTTCCTTTCCTGTTGATGTCGATGTGGTGCCAGCGGCCGTCACTGAGTTTCTTCATGAGCTGACTGCCGTGTTTGTCAGTGCCGTCCAGAGTCAGCTCCATCACCCCAGTGCCGTGGTCCAGCAGGAGAACGGGGAAACCGCCGCGCAGGAACAGGAAGATGAAATCCTGGGGGCTCTGAAAGGAATGACAAGATTCTTTCATTCAGCATTATGTTTAAAGAGTTAGACTGAAGGAACTGAAATATCCACACAGCTAGGGAAAAAGTAAAGTATACCCCTCATGTCTTTGTGCATCACGAGAATCAGAGAGTGAATTCGCGTAAGACAAAGCTGCAACCCCATGGTATCCTTGTAGGTTGTAAACTAGGGCTATATTTTATTTTTATCCAAAGTATTGTGAGAAAGAAAGTGTGTTTGTGTAGACTGGCCAATAGCAGACAGCACCACAGCACAATTAGTTCTCTGTATGTTCGAATTAAATACTCTTTCAGAAAAATTTAAGTAATCACAAGCCCAATGCCATTTCTCAAGAGACAAAGATGCACAAGAGGGCTGGACAGAACACATGGTACGTTCAAAGCAAAGACGCTACACCAGCACCAAAAAGGTTGCGGCGTTTAAGGGCCACCATGCTAATGTGTACAAACCTCAAGAGGGTCAATGTTGACCAGGGGCCCGTTGTACAAGATGACTCCGTCGTCCTGGGCAGTCATGAAGTCCAGGCTGGTCTGAGAGTCCTCGCACTGCTCCAAGGTGCGGTAAAATGCGACACTATTCCCGTCGAAGTGGTGACTCCTCTGCTGACAACGCGGCCCGTCAAATTCATCCATGCACACACATCTGGTGAAAACAATGAAACAATGTTTATTTGTCACATTTGAGATTAAAAATCAAACAAAAACCTCAAAAACGAGGAGGAGGAGGGGGAGGAGGAGGAGGGGGAGGAGGAGGAGGAGGACAATGATGAAAAAGAAGAGGAGGGGGAGGATTACGAGGTAGAAGAAAAGGATTAAGAAGAAGATACTACTACTGCTACAACTACTATTATAACTATGTCGTAAGAAAATGAAGAAGAATCACCTTATCCATCATCATCACTATTATCTTTAACAACAGAAATCAATCCCTTTGCGCCATCTATTGATCATCCTCCTCAGGTAAGTCCCAAGGAGGAGGTGGAGGAGGAAGCGAAGAAGAAGAAGGAGGAGGAGAAGGAGGAGGAGGAGGAGCAGGAGGAGGAAGAAGAAGAAGAAAAAGAAGAAGAAGAAGAAGAAGAAGAAGAAGAAGAAGAAGAAGAAGAAGAAGAAGAAGAAGAAGAAGAAGAAGAAGAAGAAAAAGAAGAAGAAGAAGAAGAAGAAGAAGAAGAAGAAGAAGAAGAAGAAGAAGAAGAAGAAGAAGAAGAAGAAGAAGAAGAAGATAAGGAGAGAACAAGAAAAACAAGAAGAAAGAAAAAAAAAAAAAAAAGAACAAATAGCGTAATACTCACGAGAGGGTGCCCCAGTTATCCTTGACACATGTCCCCCCGTTGAAGCAGTAGCCTCCGTCGCAGTTGTTCTTCTCCGGGAACTCGTCCGACTTGCAGCCCTCAGCGGCCACAGTGTAAGCCTCCACGCCCACGTAGCTGGTGCCGTTTGCGTTGACCAGGACCGGCTGGCCCGTCACCACCAGCTTGTTGTAGCATCCGCCCTCAAACACTTCCTCCTGGCAGTTGTCGATGGGCACGGTCAGCACCGACACACCCAGGTCCTCAAACTGAGGAGACATCGTGTGGAATAAATACCAAACTTATGGTAGAATCAATACCAAACATATGGTAGAATCAATACCAAACATATGGTAGAATAAATACAAAAAATATGGTAGAATAAATACCAAACATATGGTAGAATAAATACCAAACATATGGTAGAATAAATACCGTACATATTGTAGAATAGATACCAATCATATATAGTAGAATAAATATGCCTACCAAATATATAGTAGAATAAATCTAAAAATTAAGTAGAATCAATACCAAACATATATAGTTGAATAGATACCAAACATGTTAAAATTAATACTAATCATGAAGTAGAAAAGATACCAAACAGAGTAAAATAAATGCCAAACATATGGTTGAATAATACCAAAACAAATTAAATTGAGGAAATACCAACATATACAGTAGAATAAATATCAAACATAATGTACACTGCAACTAAAAAAAATCGTAAATCTTTATTGTCCAGACGCTGCAACAAACACCCACTCACTTCAACTTAAAGCACATAGCAACAAAACCATAAGAGAAAGAGGACCACCACAAACCTCCTGTTTGTTCATGATGATGATGTTGTCCAGCTGTGCCGAGGACAAGTACGGAGAGCCATGGGCGGCGTAGCGAACCTCCAGGTAGTCCGGCCCGTTGAGGAGCGTGATGATCTCCACGTGGTCGATGCTGTCGTAGCCCAGCTTCTGCATCATCAACATCCGGAACTGGGTGTACAGACTGTCCGTGCGGCGCCCTGTCCGTTTGTCCTTGGGCTCCAGGATAAACTCCTCGGCAGTAACACCTGACAGCAAGTAGAATATGGTTTGTTTGAGTAAAGAGAAGCATGCCGACAAAATGATGGTAGTTTTAGAGCATTGAAAATATGAGATGTGTGTTTGCTTGTTTGAGTTAAGAGAGGCAAGTCAACTAAGTAATGGTAGTTCAGTGCAGGGAAAAAGACTTTTTAGTAAGTAGAGGTTTATTATATTAGTAGACGTTTTACGGCGCTCGCAACAGCCTAAGGTCATATGAACGCCAAGGGGTGGATGTCGGGGGTAATACCTGGCAGCAAGTAGAAATGGGTTGTTTGAGAAAAGAGAAGCATGCCGACAAAATGATGGTAGCTTAGAGCAAGGAAAAAGTGAAATGTGTGTTGCTCGTTTGAGTTAAGAGAAGCACGTCAACTAAGTAATGGTAGTTCAGTGCAGGGAAAAAGATGTTTGTTTGTTTGAGTAAAGAGAAGCAAATCGACAAAACAATGGTAGTTTAGTGCAAGAAAAAGTAGAGTTTGTTCAAGTAAAGAGCAGCACATCAACACAATAACAGTAACTTGGTGTAAAGATAAATTAAGACAGACAGATGGAAAAACCGGGGGAAAGAAAAGAAGTAGGAACTACCAGCTGTCCCCTGCAACAACCTGCGATGGCCACTTCATGCAAGGAGAAAGACAGACAGACAAAAGAAACAAAAGGAGAGGAAAGATCTAAATCTGACAGTGGCACCCTCCAACGATCTACAATCAGAACTATTTTGTGTGTGTTATTGGGAGGGCAAAAGAGTGGAAAAATGAAATATACAGGAGGTATTGGGCGCAACGCAACTGGTAATGCGAAAGACAAATGGTGGTTTTCCAAAGTCCAATTATTTTAGAAAACAGATCTGATCTGTAAGAATCAAATCAAGTGCCAGATCTGAAACATGTTGTTTAGTATAGGGTTTTACGGCGCTCGCAACTGCATAAGGTCATATGAGCGCGCGGGACACACCTAATACTTTTTCGTTGGTAGGAAATTTTGAATTTTGCCCGGGTGGCGGCCAAAGCCTACTCTTATCGATTTTAGACCACCAAGGGATCTTTAACGTGCGCAACTTGCACACGGGCCCTCCGAGATTTTTCGCCCTTGTCCGAGAAGGCTAGGTGTAGATCTTTCCTACCAGAAGATCAGGGGTGTGGCAGAAAGACAGCAGTTAGGAGGAGCCAAGGAGTAGCAGTAGAAAGGCTGCAGAAAGAGTCAGGAGCCCAGAGGAGGGGGCAAAGGAGGTGAGGGGGTGGGGGCAGAAAGTAGAAATGAAAGCAGACAACAGAACATTGTTAGAGATCAGGAAAGGATGTGAAAGGAGACAATTTTAGAGAAGAAAATTTTTTGGTCGCTACCCGGAATCAAACCCGGGACCTTTGAATGAGAGGCCAACCCCTTAACCTCTAGGCCACGAGAGCCCCCGATCTGAAACAGACATCAGTGGTCAAAGTTTGACATTCATTTCTCTGCTCTGATGCTCAAAAGTAAAAAATGTACATCATCCTAGTCTTTTCCTGTCACAAATCTATTCAACTACTTTTATTTTATTCTTAGTCTACCTCTGCCTCTTTTGCCTTTTATTATTTCACATTGCGCAAGATGTTCTCACAACATCAAAAAGAGAGGCATGGCGAGGTTAAGAGGCACAGACAACAAACAAACAAACAAACAAACAAACAAACAATAGCCTACCTGCCAGTCGGACAGCCCCCGAGTTCTGCACAGCCTCATCAGACAGGTCCTTGACCGTGACGGCCACCGTGCTGACCACCGTCTTCTTGTCGTGGACGCTGACCTTGAACTGGTACGGCTCCTCCCCAAAGTTGGCACGCACGCCGCGCTTCATGGTGATGTCCCCCGTGTCCTCGTCCACGCTGAGGACATTGAGACATGATGAGGTACATTCAGTCAGTGAATAAAGACACTGAGAGGTGATGACAAATATGCTTGTTAGTTTTGCTTGCAGTAAATGCAGATTGAACACAGTGAAATACAAAATCAAAACTGGGAAAATAAATACAAACAAAATTAACAATCTTGTTAAGAGTAAAGAGAAACATTGACATGAAAAATAAATTAGTGCAGGGGAAAAAACCAGGCAGACATACATGAACAACCAGAGGGAAAGAAAAGCAGTAGGTTCCAAAAGTTTGAGCTGTGACACCTAATGGTTATAATTATTAAAAATGCATGAGTATCATAACAGTTATCTTTTACATGAAACAGATTACCATAACAATAAAACTGAAAAAAAGAAAAAAGAGCGAATAAGACTACATCATTTACCAGGCACCCATATTATTATAGGAAAGGAGTAATAAGGGGGCAAGGATACAAAGTGTACTCACAAATATAATTTAAAATAGACAAATAATAAGATAAAAAGGAAAAAAATTGACAGAAACCTGAATTACAGTACTAAAAAAGATCAGACTTCCAACACCATGCAATGGATGCCTACATAGAGCATAGACATTATATTCTCACCTGAAAAAGTTCTTCATGCTGGGTGGAGAGAGGAATGTAAAGGTTTTGTCTGGCAAGTCCCAGTCATCCAGATCTTCAGCATAAACTCTACCTATCTGGAGTGGCCCAAACATTCCTGAAGAAACACATCGCAATGTTTTACATAACTGATTGTAAATGAGTGATAATGTATTACATCCTCACTGCAGCCTTTATAGTGGAAGCAACAAAACTGATGGCTAGGGAATGCTTGTTCGCTAGAGTGAAGAAATACATTGATACAATAATGGTCCTTTGGTACAAGGCAAAATAGATGACTGATAGTAAGAAATAACAAGGAATGTGTTCCTTTATAGTTGAAGCCAAAAACATTCTGATAGTCAGGTAAACCAAAAATATGTACCATTATAGTTTTAAGGCAAGAAAATTCCAGTAACAAGAGAAGTAAACCTCAACTGTGAACCTTTAATAGTTGTAGAAAAAAACATTCCAGTGGTCAGGTAAACCATAAACATGTACAATTAAGTTTGTAAACAAAAATATTCTTTTGGTTTGGCAAACAAAAAAAATGTGTACCTTTATAGTTGTAAACAAATACGTTCTGGTGGCCAGGGAAGTGAGGGTTGTCGTTCTGGTCGCCTATGACGATGGTGAGCGTGTTGGTCCCCGTGCGGGCCTTGTCGCTGTTCTTGTCCCTCATGTCCCACATGACGATCGGCAGCTCGTAGTACTTGTGCTCCTCGCGGTCAAACACAGACCGCGTGGTGATAATGGCCGTCCCTCTACGCTCGTCGCCATCTGGTGGGACAAGAGTGAAAGAATGCCAATAGTTTAAATAAATTCAACATTTCTTACAAATAAATTAAGCAGTATGTATGCATGAGTTTTATTTTTTGGGTGAAGACAAGTACATTGGTAAATAACATTCATCTAGTAAAAGAAAAGAAAGACAGACAGACAAAACAATAGAGTGAAAGAACAGAAATAAGACCTACTATCTTTGCGAGTACATAAGCGAAAATATTCAAATCCTTAATCACCCTGAACTCATCTTTTTTAATATCTCTAACTGTACATATGAAAAAAGTGCTCATGAGAAGGGATACATTTGTCCAGGACCAGGTCATAAAACTACAATTTCAATGAATTAGAAGTGGCAAACCACATCCAGACATCCATTAAAAACAAACACATCCATGCATTTGCATATGATAGCAGAAATTGAAGAGAGGTATTAAAAAAATCTCAACTAAAACAAACTCTCTGTAATCAAAGTGTAGTATTACAGATTGCCACTAGTAAAATCATTCTGCTCCCTTTTTCTTGTGAAAGTTCTTGGAAAATAATCTTTACTCCCACACAAGATATGTACTCTCTAAAAACAGTAACAACCTGCAGTTATACAGATGTCACCACAGACACTTTTTGACAAGATTTTTTAGCATCCTAAACACAGGAGTCAACCGTCATATAAAGTAAAATTGACGCTCAACTGAATCACCCACCTCCCACCTCCCCAAAATCATGTAATAATAAATAGAAACGAATCGGAAATTTCTTTTTCATCCGCAAAAATAACAGAATTTGGTAGGCAATGGTTACTTCTCTATGAAAAAAGACTTGTGTATCATCTTTCGACCTACCATCATTGGGTGTGAGGTCAAAGTGGCTGCAGGCGAGCGCGGAGCAGTTGTCTGGCAGAGCGAAGCCAAAGGGCGGTCCATAGATCAAGGTGTCATGGTCCACAGCAAACACCTCCAGTACCTGTGTCAGGGAATAACACACAACATGACTTGTAACGTTTTGCAACACATTAAACTCTGGAAAATTAAATAAAGTACCAATCCTCTATATACAGCATTCAACTCGGCTACACACTTAAATTGCTAGTTCAAAGCCTTCTAGCGAGACTTGTTCTTCTAATCAAACTCACGAATCTCTGAAATGACTACGCCAAAGCGTGTGTGTGTGTGGGTGTGGGTGTGTGTGTGTGTGTGGGGGGGGGGGAGGGGAGGTTTCTTGAGGCCTGTGAAACAATGATGTGGGGGTACATCATGTCAATGTGTAAGTCTTATTCGCCCAGAGCAACTCCAGTTCACATTCTTCAACAGTTATGGACACATATTTGTTCCATTTCCAGTGCACTCAGCAGCTTCCTAGTGCTCAGTCATTAGCGCTAAGCAGAAGCAAAAGTAACTCTGACACACTTTCCTCACCTGTTTTGAAAACAAGGCTATAGCTTAACTCTTTATCTCCGGCAAGCCATTCTCAGCAGCTCGCGGTCTGAACCACTGTGCATATTCCTTTACGACGACTTCGACATCAAACATTGCCGAAAACAATTCTCTTATACCGGAAGTTCATTCATTAGATGAAGAACTATCAAAATAGGTTTGCTAGTTTCGATTTATTGATCCATTTAATGACTATTTTCTCATTTTTAGATTTAGAACCAAGAAAGGGCCCCAGCGTAGTTGGTTTACCCCCCTCAGAGATAAAGAATTAATGTCATGGATCTATTTCTATTATAGGCATGCCTTCTACTGAAGAAATACTGTGGGAGACACAAATGGCTTGTCCAGCCCTGAATCTCAAAACTTCTTTCCTTCTTTTGTTCCACTATAAGATGAAATCATTTTCATTGATCCTCCATTGGGACTGTCAGAAATCCGGATAACTGATAAACTAAGACTTACCGTAACTTCGTCCCCTTTCTTCATGTTTTCCATAACAACCGGTCGGTAATCCTCCTTGAACACAGGGAAGTTGTCATTCGTATCCGTGACAGTCACTTCAAGAGTAGCGGTCCCTGTTTGGCGTGGGTCACCTGGAAGAACAAAAGGATGTAAGTTGTTACATTGCAATTTACAACTAATCATAGCAACAACCCCATTCTGGCACGACAAACTAGGACAATAGGTACACTTACATCGCAAATCCTCAAAATATTTGGAATATCGCGTTATGCATCAATAAGCCTCCAAGATGTGAGAAAGCATCTTATGCCTAAGATATATATACACATACATGTATGTATCGTTATGTCTACAGTATGTATGCAGGTTTTCCTACCAATAGAAGAAAAAAAACTTAATAAAAAATAGATAAGCTGACAAGAAGTAGAAGGGGCAGACCAATTAACAGCGGTAAATATCCGCAACTTATACAAGACGATATGAAGGCGAATACAGATCCTTTGCTGCGGAATTTCAGTAGTCCTGCGCTATCTCGCTTTTTTATGGAGGGATTTAGGAATGATGGAGAAGCAAGTATGGAACTGGCAGAAAGTACGAATTTCTGTAAAAATACGCAAGACTGGAAGCACCGACTTGAAAATGGCAAACAGTAATGGCGCATTTCTAAGATAGTCTGTACTGGTGTAATATTTTGTTTTAAGTGACAATGACAAATTATTGTACTGTGCTTGCTATTGGAACCCAAATTTCCCCCATGAGTACCAATCAAAGTGGTAATTTATTCATATTTTTCATAATGAAACCTATCATAAATTGGCAAAGGGAATTTGAAATATCAAAGGGGCAGAAATCCTTAAAAATTCGTTTCACTCAAAAAAGAGAAAAACTTACATTGTCTGGGATTCGAGAAATTTCTGTAAAAGTAAGACGAAGAAAAGAAAAACCATCCTATGAGTTACCTTTGTCCACAGCCTTGATGACCACAAACATACTGGCCTGCACCTCTCGGTCAAGCTTCTTGCGTGTCTGCACAACGCCTGTGTCTGGGTGGATCACAAACTCACGGCGCCGGTCAGAGTCGCGGTCTATCAGGAAGCTGTCAAACAGAAACAGAAGGACAATAAGGAAATGTTGGGATTTTGTTCTACTAAGTGGTGGAAACAAAGAGCATGGTCCTTATTGAGAAGATCTATGTGGAGCAGCAAGTTTACCACAGGGAGGGAGGGAGGGAGGGAAGAGGAGAGGGAGAGAGAGAGAGAGAAGGGGGGGGGAGAGAGAGAGAGAAAGAAAGAGAGAGAGAGAGAGAGAGAGAGAGAGAGAGAGAGAGAGAGAGAGAGAGAAAGAGAGAGAAAGAGAGAGAAAGAGAGAGAGAGAGAGAGAGAGAGAGAGAGAGAGAAGTGTATGTGTGTGAGTGTGTGTGTGTGTCTGTGAGAGTGTGTGTGTATGTGTGTGTGAGTGTGCTCATAATAATATGTGTCACGCTCGTCAATTTTTCAGCATGTGGAGTTACTGGTATCATATTCTTAAAGCTTGTTCAGTTGTCTTGCTATCGGTGAGAAAAATGCCCATCTATCTTGAATAGAAGTCAAGACATTTGAGATTGAAGAAGGTGGGGTCGCCTGGTTTCAAAGGTGGAATTAGCGAGAAAATAGTTGCCAAAGTTTGGTCATTTCCATAGTTTGATAGTCCATAGAAACTGAAAATTTACATTTTTTGTGCCTTTAATCAACGTTTTTCAGTAAAATCCACCCGCAAATGTCTTCTTAATTGGAGTACAATGGTGTAAAGCTAAAAAAAACAAAAATTCGATAAAAATTGCCAGACTGGCAGAAAAATGCCAGTTTCTTCGATTTCATTATTTTGACGAGCGCCTGATTTCACCACGCTGCCTCACATATGCTATTGTAACACCAGCAGTGCACCATCGTAACAACGCTTTGTCAAAACGGTTTTAGCAATGCATCATCACAACGTCAGCAGTGCACCCATCACAGAAAAGCAGTGAGTTGTCGTAATGCTGGTCATGCCACACAGTAATGGCACCAGCGAGACTTGATAACAGTAAGAGTGCATCATAGATCTGACCCCAGTGGGCAGACAAGGCACAACTTACCTAAACATGGCGTTTATTCCAGAGTCAGCGTCCGTGGCTTCAAATGTGGCTATCACTTTTCCAGGTTCTCTGTTCTCCTCAATTTCCCTGTAAAAGAAGTGATATCAAATAATTTGAAAACTCCTTTCTAATTATACTTTGACATCATATTAACTTCCTGCAGTCTACTCCACAGATACTAAAACAATACATATAATTGTTGTGCTGTTTAAGGGGGGGGGGGGGGGGTTGTGAACTGAAGCTCATTAACAAAGTGAAGCAATGTCAGTGACATGGCTTTTCAAGCACCACCTCTGTAACCATCCTACATGAACACCTCAAGATGTTGGCCAAAGTCCTTAATCCAAAAATAGGATGCTGTTTTCCTCCATCCTGTCCATCCCTTCACCCAAGTCAGACAAGAGTAATTCTTCCAACTTCAAATTTGACTATTTTCCAAGATGATACATGATATTTTCCAAGACAATACATGATTGCCAGGCAATAAAACCTACACAAAATAAGAAAGCTACCTCCATACAGTGAGAAACGAACAAAAAAGATCAGAAACAAGGTCATCAATTCAGACGGATGCATTTATCTCTTGTGCAGCAACTTTTCCTTTTTAGACATGAATCCATGAATATTCATTCTACCCTGAAATAATTCTGAATTTCAGCAAAGGGCTGAACACATGTTTGCACTCACACTTCCATGTATTCATCCTTGAACTTGGGCGCCTCATCGTTGAAGTCCTCCACAGTGATGACCACGGTGGCCGTGTCGCGGTGGAGCGGGTTCTTGTCCTGCACAATGATCTCCAGCCGGAACACTGGGTCCATCAGTTTCTCAAAGTCCACAGGCTGAAACAAAATACATTGAATCACTGCACACCAATTGATGAAGATCGCGAAAAGGTTGGTAAAAAAGAAAAAAAATTTGGGTTCCCAATACATAAAAATATGAAACAAAAGGATGCAAATGGCGCTCATATGACCTTATGCAGTTGCGAGCGCTGTAAAACCTTACTAAAACTAAAAAGATGCAACTCCAATATAACAAAATAAGAATAAAATATGGCAAACTCAATATGACAGAAAGTATGGAGCAAATATGGACCCTCCCTCCCCCCACCAAAAAAAACCAAAAAAAACAATTTGCATCCTCAATAAGAAAATAATAAGAATAAATATTGAAACTCTTGCCTTACAGGAAAGGAAAAAAATATGGATCAAAATATAGAACCAAAATAAGAATTTTAAAAACCCAGAACAAACCATGGAAGCCAATTTTTTTTTTTTAAAGGAACATCTAACAAGAAAAATCCAACAGAACCAGAAAAAATGTATACCTGATAGACGGATATGGCGCCGTGGTTGTCTATAGTGTCCACTTTGAAATAACCCACGAGGGCAGCCTGCTCTGACATGGAGAACTGTAGCTCTGCGTTCACCCCAATGTCAAGGTCTGTGGCATGCACTTCAGTCACGATACCTTCCTCCTGGTGCTCAGACATGGACACTCTGAGGACGATGGTGGGTGGTTTTGTTTGAGAGAAAAAAGAAGCACACTGATACAAAAACTGTCTTAACCTCGGTGCTTTAGCCCTGTTTAAGCTCTGTGTACGAGTTGTTCTTTAGCCTCTCTCTGACCAGATGCAATTTTAGCCTCTATCTTCAAGTGTTGCTTTAGCATCTCTGACAAGATGCCACTTTACCCTCTACTAAGTTTTGTTTTAGTACGAGTTTTGCAACACAATAAGGTTGTACAAGTGCCAAAGACTAGAGGTGTTACAAGAGAGTAAAAACAAAAAGGAGGAGAGATGAGGACGATAGATGTTTAATAGGAAAGAAGGAGCAAACCACACCATAGCCTCCGTCTAGCCTCTATGTTTACAAATTGTTTTCGCCTCTATGATCAGATGCCGTTTTAGCCCATGTATTAGCCTTTGCATTAAAGTCGTTCGCCTTACTCTGATTGACTAAATGATCTTTTAGCCTCTGTGTTCACATGTTTTGCCTCTACAACAAGATGCTGTTATAGCTATGGCAAACGTTTGACCGGCACTCACTGATACTCCCTCTGTGTGAACTTTGGTGGGTTGTCGTTGCGGTCCTTCAGCGTGATGATCACCGTCGCTGTGGCTGTCTGCGGCTCGGGACCTCTGTCCTTAGCTCTCACCACAACCTCAAACTTTGGCCTTGTCTCTCTATCCAGAAACTTCGCCTCCACCTGGCATGAAGAAAGAAAGCAAACAGGAAAAACATTACAAGTGTATATGTAAATAATGTTATAAGTTCAGAACCCACAGTGAAAAATACTTTAGAAAAATTACTTTGAAAGGAAACCCAAACAATAACAATGTCCTTGGTAGATGGGGAAAAAAATGTGTAAATTTTTTTAATACAAAAATACCCCCAAGAAAACATCACAAATCCACTGTCTTAGTACTAAACTTTAACGGCACTTATGAGGTAGGGAGAGAAAGAGTTTTCTTAAAAGTGAATTTATTTCAACACCTAATACTCCTCTCGATCAATTTCTGAGCATGTAAAAGAGAAAGAAAAAAACTGCAATAGTAAAAGAGAAGACAAATTTTTCATCCCGTTACCCGCACATAAAAACTGGGTAATTGCAATATCCACAATGTTGGGTGCAACTCCACAAAATCCAAGATTTCGGTTTTTGTCCTTCTATGGATCCTCCTTAGGGTGTATGATATCAACCTTAGGTAAACATTTCTTATCTCTTAAGCATGCACACAAAACCTGGTGACGAAGCATTTATTTTTACTTCATTCATAGCACTTTTTGCTCCTCCTCGAAAAATTGCTTACATCTACTTGGTTGTTTTGTACCTAACACCATCAAAATGTAACATGACGAATCAGGTACCAGGATCCTACCTGAGAGAAAATGCGTCCCTGGGCATCTATGTCGAAGTAGCGACCTCCTGTCCTTTCAGCTGGACTGCTAACAATCTCGTAGTCGATGGTGGAATTTTCTCCGTAGTCCGCATCTGTCGTCATGACAACGGCTATGGGCGGACAGTTGTCGAGGTTTGGACAACCTGAAGACAAGGAAAACTCCATTTTTAATTCCCATTTAAGAATTTGAGAACAATTTAGAGAAGCAAAGCTTACCCATTAGCAAAACTTTCCTATCACCATGAAACGTACAAATGGCAAATGAGTGGTTAACTTGAAGGCAACGTTCTACACATTAAACGATACTTCCATACCTGTTTTTCAGGCACTTAATTTGAGACTTTGTACATCAACTTTAAGACCTTCAAACTGAATTTATTTCTGGAACCATCTGAACAAGCTTCTCATTTTCAAAGCCTCCAGTGTGCCTCCCTCCCCGGTCAAAGATCTGTTTTCCCAATGACCTCCACAGTGACCTCGCTGTACTGACCTGGCTCCGTGTTTTCAAAGACCTCTCCCGTGAGGCGGTTCTGGTCAAACTTTGGCTTGTTGTCGTTTATGTCCAGCGGCTTGACCTTGATGTTGGTGTAGCCCTTCTGTGGCTCCTGGTCTTCGTCCGTGGCCTCCACCGTGAAGATGTACTCCGACTTGGTGTCGCGATCGAGGATGCCCACCAGGTATATCTGACCTGTGCGCTGGTCAATGGTGAACAGCTGCATGTCCCCGGCCTCAGTTCCCTCCCCGAGGAGGCGGTAGCGCATGTTGGTGGTACGGGCCACGTCCTTGTCCGTCGCTTTCACCTGAGGGAGGAGACATTTGATATTCAGGATCAGTTGAAACCAGCTTTGTGGGGAAAAAAACACCTAAAAAATTACCTTTCAAAACCACATCTTCATTCTTGACATCCTTTCACAGTCAGGAAGATTAGTCAGGGAAGAGAAAGAATAAAACACTCAAAATTTGCTTCAGTGGCAGACTATTAAGCTACCCATTAAACACTAACACTAGTGAGATGGACATGCCTCTATCTATCTCCTTTATCCCTTTCATCTCCAGATCCACTCACTCACTTACTAAATAACAATTGCCTCAAAAACTTCCATTAAATTCACACTAAATCACATCAAGAAAAACTCACACAAACAAAATTGTACACATACAATAGGACACAAAGAGGATCTTCCCATAACAAGGCAAAAGCTCACCTGTATCAGCGGCATAGGACTCTCTTTGCTAATGCTCTGGTCCTCTTCCACCACTTTATCGTCAATGATGTACTCCGGCCGCTCAAACACAGGCGGGTTGTCGTTCTCGTCCAGAATGTCAATCTTCACTTGGGTGGTGGCTGAATAAAAGTTCTCCGCATCTCGCGATTCCAGGGTCAGTAAGTAAGACTAAGGAGGAAAGATGAAACAAGATCCAATTAAGAAATACTGATGGACAGACGGACAAGTCGAAACCCTTAGTTTGTGGTATGATCACTCTCAGATATTGAGCTTGGTCTGTTTGTTTGAGTAAAGAGAAGCATATCCATATGAACTACATCCATATGGCATCCATCAATTTGTTCAGAAAAAGAACACATAAAGAGAAGAACATCCATACAATATCAATCAATTTGTGTGTGGTGTATTTGGTTGTTTTTAGTAGTGGCACGGAGTTAGGCCTAGCCTATTGTATTGTTTGGCTGAAAGTGTGAGAGTGAGTAAAGTGTGAGTCTGTGTTCAGTTGTATTGTTTGCAAGTTGATAAAAGTTTGAGTTGCTACTGGTGGGGTTTTTAGAGGAGAGAGTTGTATCAAGGCAGAGGAGGCCTGCTGAAAGTATAGGTTGTGAAAAAGGCTAGTTAGAGCCTCGGTTCAGTTGTACGTAAAGTGTGAGATTCCAATCCAACGCATCGGGGCCCCAAAGCTGCGGAAAGAATCACAACACAGAGCAGAGGAACAGGTTTGGCTAATTCCTGTTATAGTAGCATGTGACAGAAGGTTAGTATAGTGTTAAATCTTTGTTTTGTGTTCCAAGTAACAACATTGTGCAAGGATAGAACAAGACCGTCAAACAGTAACAAAGGAGGGTGGAAAAAAAGGTGAGGGGGAAAAAAAGATGATGGACGTTCTTGTGACACCTTCCAACTATCCATTAAAACTGGAAAAGACTGTTTAAAAGACAACCTTGCAGAGCAGTAGTCTACAGAGAAATAACAGAAGCTCTTAGTGCTGCTTACCTTGACACCCTCATCATAATCCAGCTTGCCTGTAACGACAATTTCTCCCGTCTGGTCCCGGATGTCAAAGGGGATGTCGTCCGGGCTGGTGAAACTGTACTTCAGCTGACCTTTGTCCACTGTATAGGCACAAAAATAACTGGTCATGGAGAGGGCAATGATAAGACGCAACAAGAAAAAAAAAGATTATTCTTCCGAAATCTGAATTAAATAAGGAGACACTATCTGTTTCAAATAAAACAGTCTTCCGGTCAAAGCTTCTTTAAGCAGTGTTAGTGGAATAGTGGTTAGACTCTTCCTCTTAAAAGGAAAAGACACGAGTTCTATTTCCACATGGGGATACAGTATCTCATATGGTTGTGGAAAACCAAAGCATACCGTCCCTTAAATGAACATGATGGTGTAAAACATTGACAGTTGGCCTGTCTACTTCATCCATTATTTGTACAAGCCACTAAGCATCCAAGGAGACCAGGAAATAAGCAGATATTCAAATCTTTTTTTCACTAGCAGCAGCACCCTCTTCTGACCCACACACATCAGGTCTACAGCACAAGTCCACTACATGACGTCATGATACAAAACATGAAAGTCGTACCTTCATCCTTGTCGTCTGCAGTGACCGAAAAGATGACATGCCCAATGCTAGCTGTCTCCTTTACCGTGTGAGTGTACAGCGACTGACGGAACTCCATAGGGTTGTCGTTCTTGTCTGTGATGGTCACCTGCACAATAACCGATGCTGTGAAAGAGACAAAAGAAACGTGAAGAATTATATAAATTTGTGAATTTGATACTATAAACAATAATAGTTTGCAAAGACAAAGCATAAAGCTAGCTCCACACTAGCTCTAAGATGGAGTTTTACCTTACAAAGAAACAATTGTTTTAAAACCCCACTTTGACCATGACAACAGTATCCAATTGCCCTTCATTTATCTTTGCCAAACCACATCCTAGTTTATCCTCATCCAAACAGTAAAAGCTGTCAGTAGTAGAAAACTGTCAGTCATAAGCAGAATTTTTTTCCCTCATTCTCTTGTGATTCCACTGTAAACATGACAATAATTATGACCAGATTTCTTTCACTTCTTAAGAAGTACTGAGATGTAAACTGAGATGAATAACAAAATGTGAAACTTCTGTTCTCTCACCTGTATTAGAACTGCCTGGAGGTTTGTGATTGATCCTGTCAGAAGGACTCTGGTCATCAGCAATAACGGTGAGGAAGAAACGAGGCTGTTCCTCTCTGTCGAATGGTCGCTTGGTGTGGATGCCAGCCTTGTTGCCAGGTAAGTTGCGGATCTCAAAGTCATTCAAAACACCGTCATAGCTCTGTTCCGAAAGCCGGAACACCAACTGTAGGGACAAAGAGAAGAAACAAAGTCATAAATTGAAATGAATCCTAATATATATATATATATATATATATATATATATATATATATATGTTCCAAGAGTTATATGAATCTTGGAAGGTAAATGAGGCACTTCCCTTGCATTCCAAACTTAAAACAAAGGATAGCACTACAAACCAGGAGCAGTGTGTCTTCATAAGTGTATGCATTCGAATGCTTGCAAAAAGTTCAGGTCATATGTGACTAACCTATCTGGTGAAAGAGGTGTAGCTGTGTTATGCATGAAACAGTAACACACATATAAGACAAAATACCACAGTGCCTCAAATTTAGCAAAAGGGATTACTCCTGATTTTACCAATTCTCTTTCTCTCTTCCCCATTTTCTCAAACTGACAACTGACCTGATTGTAGCTGGGAGTAACATCATCATCATAACCTTGCACTTCAATGACCAGAGCACCGGCGTTGGTGTTCTCGAACACACTCCCAGCATAGCGGCCATTGCTGTCCATGCCCTCAAAGTAGGGCACCTTGTTGTTGCGATCCTCCACGTCTACCGTCACCGTGATCTGCTCATACATGGTCAGGCCGCCAAAGTTCTGGGAGCAGATGAAAGAAATTATAAATTTCTCCACTTGTTTCCTCGACAACCTCTTAATTTTAGTTTCAGTAATAGTTTTATGGCAATTGCAACACAATAAGGTCATATAAGTGCTGAAGATTAGAGGTGTAGAGAGACAAACACAAAAAAGGAAAATGGGAGATAGAGATGATAGATTTTTTTATAGGAAAAAAGGAGCAAACCACACCAGTGCACCTGCCAACCACCCACTGACAACCTCTCAGGAACCAAAAAGGACCTAAGAATTACAAAAATTACCTACACCTAACACCAGGGTGAAAGAGGCAAGAGAGAGCAGCTTGAGTGAAGCATGTTGAGTTCATTGTCCAATTACAAATGAATACCCTACTTTCAAAGGCAGATTTAGTTTGGCAAGTATAGTGTGCAAAAAGGTACAAGCAGAGACTTTCAGTCTGGACAACTGGTGAACACTGTCTCTATTGACAACCCATTTTGCATGTGAATGCATAAATAGAAATACAGAGCACAAAACAAAGTGACATTAGAGGAAGGGTAAAAAGGAAGAATAGGAGAATACACTAAAGCAAATATCACATAATAATCTGCGTATAGATGCTCGTGTCCATTCTTAGTGTGGGGAGTCACAGGTCAGTCTCATATACCTCCCCCCCCCCTCCCCCTCCCCCAACCAACCGATCCCACCCTCTATTCACTGAGAAGCTATGTCTATGCACTTAAGAAGTACAAATGAATGTGAGAAAAATTGAGGCTTCAGAAGAATGAGGCCAAAAAAGGCCATTAAAAAAAGGTAGAGCTGAGAGATGTTTCTCATGTACATCAATTTAACAGGCAATTTCTTCAAAAGTCAGACATAATTTATGAGAGACAACCATGTGTGGCAAAGCAAGGCAGTATCTGAGTGCCCACACTCTAAATTCGTAGTCAAGAAGGCAAAGGAAGAACATGAGAAAGAGAAAGAAAAGCATGAAAAGGGGAAGGAAAAAAGAAGGAGAGGGGCGGGGGGGGGAGGAGATGGGGGAATTAAACACAATATCCTAAACTCCAACCTGACAGCGCAGCTGGATGGTGTGCTGATTGGCTTTCTCGTAGTCGAGCTGTGCGGCCACCATCACGTCCACCTTGTAGCGGCCCCCCTCCTGGTACTCTCGGATGGCAAAGTTGCCAGCTTGCTGTGACTGCACAATGTCGCGGGAGTCCACCAAAAAGTACTGGACCTGTGGGTCAACATGGAGGCACATATATGAGAATAGCACTGATAGGTGTTTTGACTCTTAAGAACAAAAATCTATTTTTTCTTTAAACAAAAGAAAGAAAAAATACAAAAATCGATGCCTAATGAAAGTCAAGATAAGCGTGAGAAATTCTGGATAAAAACAACACAATAACTCTTCATTGAAGAGCATTGCAAATGAAAGCAGCAAAAAGTCTGGAAACTTGATAACTTAAGTTGTGAACAATGTCAGTCCCTAATAGTACCTCAAAGTAAGGGCAGTAGTATGTGAAACATTCTAAAATATCCATCACAGAATCTGATGACTCAAAGGGCAGTAGTGGCATGCGAGACTTTCTAAAAATCTTAATGACTGACCCTGGGATTGTCCATGTTGGACCTGCAGGTCAGTGTGGTGATGATGGCATCCTGAGAGTTTGGGTTGACCGTTTCGGCCACTCGGTAATGGTAACCCGGAGACATCACATCGTCGTCGAATCTGAAGATTGTGAAGAAAAAATGGAGACCATAAGAAGGGAATTCCGTAAAAGTAATTAATAACACATTCAGCACTCACATTTGGAAATAACTTGGCAGAAGGATACCTTGATGAGTGAGTGCATAACAATAATCAATCTTAGAGGTCAGGGTGCATTTACACATGCAGTAAACAAATAGATACTTTTTAGGTGTTTGTAAGCAACTTAGAGGGATAGTTCCCCTCTCCGCAATCCTCAACATTTTTAAAAAACATACATCTGTGTCTTGTCTTCGCAAAAAATAAGTAATCCGTAAAAATAACACAGTGTAAGAGACAACTTGATTCCATTCAAGATGCAGTAATCTTACACTATCAACTACAGCTAAATGTTTTTAATATCTTATGAAAATACAGCTCAAAGATGTCTTAGCTAAATGTTTTTAATATCTTATGAAAATACAGCTCAAAGATGTCTTAGCATGACAGAAACTTTATCCTGTACATGTGTGGGTACTGACTCAATGCACTTTCATTAGAAGCTTTGTTGCTACATTCTTCACAATTGGACAGTTATCTTTGACCAGCAGTAAAACATAACAGGGCTATCTGTTTTCTTACGTGGGTGGCTCACTGGTCTCAGAGGCGACATCGATGGTCACACTGGCCGTTGCATTTCTGGGTTCCACTCCATGGTCCTGAGCTCTGACCAGCAGTTCGTAATGAGTGACCTAAGGAGACAGACATTGTGGTAAAGTAAAAGAGAAGCACACAATCACAATTACTCATTTTGCAGCAAGAAAAAGCAAGACAAACAGACAGACACTACTGAGGAACGGCAAGTTCATTTACAAGGCTCTACTTCTCAGCAACAAAATTTCTGTAAAACTTCGAAGTTTAACATCTATCATTACTTGGATCCAGAGCTAGAATCATAGCAGACGGGACATGTCCAAAGCTGCTCATCTCTCCTTTCCAGCGTCCACCCCAGGGTCTTCCTGATAATTGTCTCCATGAGGAGCTAGTTTGAGACCCGCCTGACCACTCCTCGTAGCAAACATCTAACATTATGGTACTTCACCATAACAAAGCACCTTTTACAAAATAATCTATTTTTTCCAGTTTTAAGGGGCCTATTTATACTGTGAAACAGACAGCTCTATCTTTTGACATGCAACGAGTACAGTCTTGTGACCATTAATTCCCATCCTGGTATCAAAGTTAATTTTAAAAGAACTATAAAATTTTCTGAGAACTCACAGATGGAGCTTTTTTCAGGAAAATCAGACCGTTCTCTTCGTAGATACCAAACACGCCATTGCCATTCTTTATCAGAGAGTACGAGATTCTGGCGTTGTCACCGATGTCTGCATCTGTCGCACCAACACGGAGAATGATCTGATGGGACAAATAAAAAAACCAATGGTTAATACTCTGGCTGCAAATGACTTCATTACATTTGATATCACGTTTTACACGTCCAGATCTCTCAACAAACTTTGCACATGGAGACAGGTGGTATGGACACGGCAAAATGTACATCACAGCACATGCTTGTCAACAATCCAAGTACAATAAATCATTTAGGAACCAAAGAATCTGCCAGATAAGCAGTACATATCCAGACAAAGTTGAAGATGTGAAGCCATTTTACAGTGACAAAGATTACAATAATGAATTCTTCTTTCTCATGACCAAAAGTATCCTACTATCTCTTAACCTCAGTACAACCGGCTTTTTCTAAAAATAATTTTTAAAATGTTTAAACGTCTCTAAAGATTAAAATTTACCAAATCTTCATTAAAAGAGTTTAAATTGTGTGGACAGAAGTGGTGCTAACACAAACGATTTTATAAAAAGCAATCTTAAAGCCTATAAACATGTATTTGCAACACCTGTTAACATTCCTTATCAACAGTCTCACAATTGGAACATACCCTGCCCTTCTGGGCATTGGAAGAGATCTTTTCGCTGTAGCTCAGGGAATTGAAGACCGGGTCATTGTCGTTTATATCCCTGATGCTGACTCGGAATGTGCACCATCCCTCTTGAGGATTCTGGGCTCCATCAGAACCTTTCACCGTCACCTGTGATTAAAAAAGATAAAACATAATTGTCATTGCAATAGCAAGTACTTCGGTGTTTAACACCACCCCTATAAACACAATTGGACTATTTCAACCCAGTCTATCACAGCCACCCAGACTGAGTGGGGTACAGCCTCCCAGCTGACAGATAAAGATAAGTTAACTTGATTTTTTTTTTTTAACAGATTTCCCTATTCAAGAATTGAACTCAGGTCTTCTAAAAGCAATGGCACAGAGCCTAACAATTACACTATAGATGCTCATATGCATGATATAATGTCACTTTAGTTTTGTTTCAGCAAAAAAAAGTAAATAAACATGATAATGGTCATATTGTTTCGTAAAAGAGCAAGACAGACAAAAAGAAAACAAGAAAAGAAGAGTAAAGATGCAGGACCTGCCACTAACGCACTCCACCTATCTGCAAAAAAAAAAAAACAATAAAGAACCTATGGTCAATATAGTAAAAAAGTAGGAGCATGGGCAAATAGTATTTTGCAAGACACACTCTGAGACAAATTTAACAATATTCTTGCCGATTTACAGACCCTGGTGAAAAGAGTCCATGCTACAACAATGCTACAATTAGCTCAAATACATTTTGCACAACTTCCCTGCTACTGGAAGTGCCAATCCAGAATGTTCAGTGAAAACTGCTTAATTTCTCGGAAGAGAAGTAGACAACACGTAAAATACTTTCCCCTTGTCCGTTTGTAAGGTGCAAAGACAGGAAACATACTTGAGTAGAGTTACACTTTACACCAATTAAGCATGACACTGACTACATGCCTGAACAAACATAAATTGGATGATAGAAACACCAAAGGGAAAAAGAAGTAGACCATAAAAGAGCTGTTAAGATAAGATAAATCTCTATTGCCCAGATTCTGGCAAAATGGTTTGGTGTTTCACCATGCACACACACACACACACACACACACACACACACACACACACACACACACACACACACACCTGGTGATAACTATTTAAAAAAGAATGCTATGAGCCATCCAGAAAAGTGTTGCGTTTCCAAGCGACCAAAATGTATCATTTCAACATGCTTAACATAAAACCATCTAATTACAATGAGCAGACCGAATCAATCCGTCTATGATCATTATCATTTAAACATTTGATGGTTTCAGAGCGTCTAGTGTATTAAGTTTTTTGTTGGTTTTTTGGGGGGGTTTCTTTTAGATAGCATCCGTTATTACGCCCCATGACAGACCCAACTATCTGACAATTTATTATTATTATTTATTTATATTTTTGGGTTTTATTGGTTTGCAATGCTAGCCTTGCCCACAGTGTCAAAGGCAGGGCGATATATCTAAATCCAAAATAGAAGTAGTCAAAGTGGTAAAAACTAACTCAGTGATTGATCTCAATATTGTACTTAAGCATCGAGAGTTATTCGCATTTTTCTGAAAATGATGAAATATATTACATATATACAGTTACGTTTGATCTGCTTTTTGGACGTCATCATAAAAACTTAAACGCGCTGAATGAGTGTG